TTCAATGCCTTTTAAGACTTTTTAAGGACCCGCGGGAACCCTGAAGAATGAGAATTTGCTTTGTCTATTTTTGTAAATATTGCCAGTTCAGGCTAGACAGTAGTTGCAAAATATGTCAAATAGCAATCATAATCTCAGAGCGATATTCTTCTGAGTGCCTTGCATGCAGACTCTGCAGGATATGTGAGTAGAAGGTGAATTCTAGGTGGCAGAGATGCTAAAGCTCACAACCAGTGGTAGGATCGTTGTTAGAAAATGGAAGCCTGACAGTGTATGCTAATAGCGAATCATATGTAATATCATCATAAAATTAAGCAGATATTACAATTAAATGTTGTCCTGATATTGTGCTGGTAAGATATCAATTAAGTGTGAAATACTTTACAGAGTTTATTAGCTCTAAGGAGTTTTATTAACTCTTAATTATGTCATGAAAATCCTTTAAATGAGATATTATAACAGGAAGTTTTGGAAAGGTCACAAAGAATGAAGTAGAACAGGTTAAAGCATAAACAGCATTGAGTTCAGGCTAAACAATTATCCTTTGGGAAGAACTATTTTTCTTTTTTCTTTCAGATTAGCTAGATTTAATAATAAAAAAACAAGCATATAAAACAGGGATGTATCTGCAATGGTGCATCTCTCAAAAACATCTAAATTCAGGAGATCATTAAAAGCTAAAGACATTCTTCCTAAAAGATCCTGCTTTGAAACCAACATATTTCCAACTTACCCTAAAAATTTGAGTGGAAATAAAGCGAGTGGAGGGCGCGAGTTTCAAGCCTCCAGACCAAGCAGCTCCACGTCGAAGGTGAGAGTGGCGTTTGGTGGGATGATCCCTGGGTGACCTTTGCTGCCATAGGCAAAGTCTGAGGAGCAGATAAGCTTCGCCCGCTGGCCTACGCTCATCTGTGGAAGACATGGAGCCATATCTGAAATCTGCTTTCATACCAACTCAAACACATTAATGTGATATACTTATCAGAAGTGGGAAGGAGATTTATTGATTACTAATTATCTAAATTATCAATCTGATCGATTAATTTAGACTAGCAATTAAATAAGCAGCCAGAATCAGAAGCATTCTGACATTTACAATATTCTCAGTTTTAATAAGGTACATCACAACTAGAGCTGCAACTAACGATTATTCTGCAAATAGATTCATCTTTAGAGTATTTTTTCATTAATCGATTAATCAGATAGCCAATGTTCTTTAAAGACTTTTCATGAAATTAAACCAGGTGAAACTAAAACTTTTCCACTGGAGGAGTTCCGGATAGATCATATTGACGGATGAAAATTTATTTTTATTTTTTTTAATCTTAAATGCAAAATGTTTACATATTTTTTCATTTATTTATATATAATCACTGCTCTAAGTGGGTTCCTCTGTCAGCTAAAGACATATTTTACAGACTATACTCCACTTGATGATGAATCGATTACTAAATTAGTTGACAATTATTTCAATAATTGATAAATCAGATCAATCTGATTAATTTCAGCCCTAATGACAACATTTAACAATTTATTCTGCTATCTGTATTAAATACAGAAAACAAAATGCAAATAAAATTTTCTCTTACACATTATTCAACTAGATAAGATAACTAAACAGGAACCGATTAGTTTTTTTGTTTTGTTTCAGCTTTTGTTGTCATTATACTGTCACAAGTACAGAGAAACTAATTGAACTCTCTGCATTTAACCCATCCCCTTGGATGGGGAGCAGTGGGCTGCCATCATGCGCCGCCCGGGGGGCAGTATGGGATTAAGGGTCTTGCTCAGGGACCCAGAGTGGCAGTCTGTGGGAGTGGGGCTTGAACTCAGAACCTCTGGATTCCAAGCACAATGCACTAACCACTAGGCCGCCACTCCCTGAAGGTCACTGAATCAGACAAAAATAATTATCCAATGTGAAAAATGTAAAACTATCATTAACAGACAGGATGTCACTCTGACAAACTGTCTGATTATCTGTCGCTCTGTTTCAATGAAGTGGATGACAACAGATAAAGTTTTTAGATTTCAGTGTGAAAGACTTTAGCAGTGCTTTTAAACTGGTGCTTCTGGTTGCTCTGAAAGGAATATTAAGACTTGGCTCAATTAACAACATCAGTAAATAAAAACCTGATGTGATTATTGCACCATGTCTCTTCCTATCATATTAAAAACCTGTTGCATCATCAAAAGGTGTAAATAACTCCAGACCAGACTCTCCATTGATTCATATTTCTGCTCTAGAATGCCTCCTCTCTGGTGGTCCTTCTCTTTAAAATACCAGTGAGGCTCCACTTAAGAATGGACAGCAGCACCCTCTATTGGACAGCAGAGACACTACAACACTAAAATAAATTCTGAGTTGACTTTATGAATTAATTGGACAGAAATCATTCTTACTAATAAGACATTAATCATCAATTTATTGTAAGTAGATTATTTCTTTAAATTCCTAATCAGAACAGAATGACAAATTAAAAGGCACAATTTACAACATCAGATCCCCTGATAGCTGGGACACAGGATGAAATGTAAATAAGTTACTGAATATAACAGAAGTTTTAAAAAAAAATCCACAGAGATTATTTCAAAGTCTCCCAAATCTGGAAAAAACTGGAACTTTTAATATTTGACTCTCAGAGAGGGTTTGGATTAGACAAACCAATTTTCTACACAATAATCTAGCATCTGTGAGTAAATAGTCGATGCCATTTAAAGCAGTTTAAAGAAAATACACTTTGATCAATTTGCATCTGAATTCAGAACTGGATGTAACCAATCCTGGAACTTGAAAACATTAAAAAATACTTTCATCCCCTTAAAAATATATATTTTTCCAATAAATCCAGGAGCAGCTCTGCCGAGTCTCAGATCTACCAAGTAACCGATCATTTTATCACAAATAACTACTTAATATTTACAACCCCACCCGCCCACCACCACAGCTTTTCATAGACTGCCATAGTTTACCTTCACTTCAAATGCTTCCTTCATGCCTATCCTGCTCTGTTTTCTGCACCTGAGCGCTGCCTATTTGGCTCTTCATCTATCGCTACTAGTCATCAGATGATATCATTATTCCAACGAAGACACCCACGCCGCTCAGGCCGCTACCTGCCCCTGCATTCTCAAAGAGGTGCAGACTGAAGTGTGTGCACACAGGGGGGGCTGTATGTGGGGTATAGCCACTTTCATTGTGTGGTAGAACCACGCTTCTGGATTCTACAATAGCTGAATCATCAAAGTTGGACAACCTGCAATAAATCTTTCTCTGCCTCCTGGGGCTGGATGATCAATTAATTAATGGAATTTTCTGTATATAAAGGTTTAATTTTTTGCAAATCTGATTTTATTCCACCGATGCACAAGGATTCCATAGCTCAGAGTGACAGCAGTTCATCACTTTTTGTTGTTAGTGTAACAGATTAGCTAGCCAACCAATAGCTGCAAACATTTAGTTGTCTATATTTTCATAGTTTATCAATTTCAAAGCATTTTTACAGCTGGAATTCTGATGTCCAGAAGGGAATATGAAAAAGCAGGGTTTTATTTTTTTTTTATAATATGTGTCATTTGTTATTGTTATCATGAAACAGAGAGAAAAAGATTGATTAATCCCCAAACAGACTGTTGAAGAAGAGTAAAAAATGTCTCCAGTGAGGGGTACTCTCTTAACATCACCCTCTCTGGAACACTAACAACTTTATACCAGGTTTCTCTTTGCTGACATTAGTTCTGCCTTCTTGCCTGGACAGACTGATGGTGAAGTTACAAAAAAAAAAAAGACTTCTAGCCACCACCTGCTGCTGAAGTTACTGAGTGTCCACATGGATGCAGACCTCAGCAGCAACTGTTGGCCACCTTCTACTGCTGCTCCATTCAGTGTTGAGCATTCTATGGCAGCACACACCCTGTTTCAGCAGCTGCCCCTCTGGGAGGCATTTACTTAAAGCTTTGCTCAAAGCACAGACGAACAGAACGAGGGACAGATTTTATGACAGCCTCAGTATACTGCAGACATTTGACCCCATCATGTGTCATTTTAGCCACGGGCCAGGTGCAATGAGCAGATGTATCGTGTTAATGATGTCATACCTCCCTGCTGAAGCACTGTCTGACATTTTAATGTGTTTATGGCATTTACATTTTTATTAGTTTATGGATCATCTAGTATTTATGGGACACTTGCTCAGAGGTAAGAATTTGAGATAATCATGTTTTGTTTATGTACTGTTAGAACAGTACATTCTTCCTTTTATACCTATTAGAAACCTATTTTATAAACCATGTTTTTGTCTATTTCAGTGACA